GTTTGGAAGCCCATTAGCCATGCTTTTTACCAACTGAGTGGTCTTGGAAATTTTACCTAACTTCTCCAAGTTTTATTTTTTCTGCAATAAAGGTATAATAGTATTCACTTAACAGGACTGTTGAAGGAATTGAATGGAGAGAAAAATTATGTGAAGCGCTGAACAGTGTCTGATAAACATTAGGTGCAACCCAACTCTTCTATAATATACATGTCTTTGACATAAGTGTATTGCTTATAAAATTTGAGTAACATTATTCTAAAAAGCAGAAAACTCCTCAAAGTCCCCTATCACTGTTCAAAATTATTTTTATTATGATATTCCCCAGACTGGTCTCAAACTCATGGGCTCAAGCCTCAGACTCCCAAGGTGTTGGGATTACAGGCATGAGCCATCAAGCCCTGCCAAAAACTCCACTTTTATAAAATCACCTTTGAACACTTTTCAGCTGGGATAGACTCACTTATAGTCATAAAACTGTTAGATGGAAACAAACCAAAACAGCAGGATATCCTCTGACTTTCTAGTTTCCTTGGTTTCCCAGGAGCTGCCATCCTCTCTAAAGAAAGGACACTTAAATATTTACATACCTAAAACCAAACACGAATGCTTCAAGAATTTTAAACACACATTTTAATGTTTTCTTTAAAAATGTTTTTATTATACACCATCATGTATATTACAAGTAGACATCTATTCTCAACACTTATCTTTCCCAGACAGATAGCATACTTTTTGGAAGAAATTTTATATTCTATTAGTCTTTGGTTATTTGCAGCTTCCACACAAAGTATAAAACAAAGCAACCTCACACATTAAAATTAAAGCAAGCTATAAAGTCACGAGATTGATAATGTTGCTTTGGCAGCCCTAAATCACAATCTGTAACATGAACATGGTACTGATGACAACACGGAATCTCTTAATTTAAACATTCCTTCATTAGGGAGAGCCTGATGATACAATCTCAACCCTCTGCCAGTTTTCTTACTCCTGAAAAATCTCTGTAAGTACAAACTGATGTATTATAGACCAAATATTAAGTACGTCTTTACATTTTTCTCATTGACTAGAAAAGAATTTCATTAATCTAGGACGCCTTTGATTACTAAATACATAATTATTTTATATACCACTAAGAAAGAAAAATACTCCTAATTAAACTATGACACAACGCTGTGTCATCAATTTTAAGCGCATCATAATTTTAGAGACACTAAACAAGTCTATCTTATGATCAATGAATACAATAGTGCTGCTTAGTACCACAGCAATATTTAATGTAAACCCAAAATTTGGCCTAAATCACTAACACTTTAAAATACAGAATATATTTATAATGCATTCCTTTAAATTATTAGTGATCTGAAAACAACATTTAAAAGACATTTCTAGGGAACTTGTGAAACCTAAAAATATGTACATGCATTCCTGGAATTCCGCCAATACTACTTTAAGAAACATTGACTTAGTCTTCATGTCTAAACCACGGTAACATCACTAAAGCAACAAAAATGTTATAGAAATTGATGAAATCACAACAAGGAAGCATTTTCAATTCTTAAAAGAGATCAAAGGCCCTACTCCTAACAGAAATTATTTTAACAGTTTATTTATTAAATACCACTTATGTATGGTAGAAAGACATCTGAGAAAAAAAGGTAAACCAAAAATTTTCAACTCTGTCTTTTTGGAAACTAAGAGTGTTCACTTTTAGTAATGAACGCTATGTTCCAACACTATTTTACCATTTTACATACATTACCCCAATGTGATATTATCCACATCTTCACTATACATCTATTATTTTAATGCATCCCCTTTTTGGTGTAAATATTTTCCACTCAGTATGTGCTACAAAAATATCCATATAAACTCTGCCCATTCTATTATTTCCTTAATTTCCAACCTTACCTGAATTCGACATTTTTCTTTCCCAACAATTACACCACTCAACATCTATTATAGATAAGAAAACAGAGATGAAACAAAGATTAAAACATTAAATTCACACATTATCATTTTACTAATAGATAACTACTCTTCTCACTTTCAGAAGTTTTAATGCATGCAAAGCTTTATAATTCTCAAAAATGGGATATACTGTGTATATATATAGTCATGTAACCACCTTTTCCATTTAAGATTATATGCTGAACTTTTTCCATGTGGATAAATGTAGATGTCTATCAATATTTTCAATGGCTGCAGAATATTTAAATATGCAGATATATCTTAATTTTATGAGTAAAAAGCAGATAAAATCACCCATAGAGAACCAATAACATTCTGGGAGTATGCAGCAGAGATTATTAAGATACATTTTCCTCATAAAAAGTATGGCATGTGCTTTTACAGCCTACTTTTTCCACTTAAGATTATATGCTGATGTTCTCACTTATTTGTGGTAGGTAAAAATTAAAACAATTGAACTCACAAGAGAGTAGAATGATGGTTATCAGAGGCTGGGAAGGGTAGTGGAGGACTGAGGGGAAGTGGGAATGGTTAATGGGTACAAAAAATGGTTAGACTACGGAATGGGAGAAAAATGTTTGCAATCTACTCATCTGACAAAGGTCTAATATCCAAAATCTACAAGGAGCTTAAACAAATTTACAAGAAAAAAACAAAAAACCCCATCACAAAGTTGGCAAAGATATGAACAAACACTTCTCAAAAGCAGACAATTTTGTAGCCAACAAACATACGAAAAAAAGCTCAACATCACTAATCATTAGAGAAATGTAAATCAAAACCACAATGAGATACCATCTCACACCAGTCAGAATGGCTATTATTAAAAAGTCAAGACACAACAGATTCTGGCGAGGCTGCGAAGAAATAGGAACACTTTTACACTGTTGGTGAGAATGTAAATTAGTTCAACCATTGTGGAAGACAGTGTGATGATTCCTCAAGGATCTAGAACCAGAAATACCTTTTGATCTAGCAATCCCATTACTGCATATATACCCAAAGGATATAAATCATTCTACTGTAAAGACACATGCACGTGTATGTTTATTGCAGCACTATTTACAATAGCAAAGACACAGAACCAACCCAAATGCCCATCAATGATAGACTGGATAAAGAAAATGTGGTACATATACACCATGGAATACTTTGCAGCCATAAAAAGGAATGAGATTATGTCCTTTGCAGGAACATGGATGAAGCTGGAAGCCATCATCCTCAGCAAACTAACACAGGAATAGGAAAACCAAACACTGCATGTTCTCATTCATGTTGAACAATGAGAACACATGGACACAGGGAGAGGAACAACACATGCCAGGGCCTGTGGAGGGTGTGGGGCAAGGGGAGGGAACCTAGATGACACGTTAATAGGTGCAGCAAATCACCATGGCACACGTATACCTATATAACAAACCTGCACGTTCTGCACACGTATCCCAGAACTTAAAGTAAAATATAAATAAATAAATAAACAAATAAATAAATAAAACTAAATGGCTAGAAATAGTAAGATCTAGTATTCGATAGCACAACAGGGTGACTCTAGTCCATAATAATTTAATTGTACATGGTAAAATAGCTAAAAGACTATAATTGGATTGTTTGTAATAGAAAGGATAAATGCTTGAGGTGATCAGTACCCCATTAACCCTGATGTGATTATTATTCATTGCATGCTGCTATCAAAATATCTCATGTAACCCATAAATATATACGCCTATTATGTACCCATAAAAATTAAATTTAAATTTTGAAAAAACTTATATGCGAAAATTCTAATGTAAGTAAATGTAGATGTCTACCAACATTTTCAATGGCTTTATAATATTTAAATGTGTAGACATACATTATTTTTTTTAGCCAACTGTTTATCTTGAGATACTTGAGTCATTTACAACTTTTCACCCTTCAAAACAGTTTGAAGATGGACAGCTTTCTGTAAGCCAATTATGTGATTATTTCCTAAAGATACATTTCTATAAGTGGAATTAACAGGTCAAAGGATGTGCATATATTCCAGCGGACCTTGTGCCAGTGTATACTCTCACCAGCAGATTGAGATCACTCCTCCCCCCACACCCTCACCCTCACTGTGGGGTGGGAGAGTGGTAGATCTTCTATGTGTATCCCAACAGCACTCTCCATGGTTCCATAAAGGGCCCACCTTAACCAACCTTATAAAGGAAATCTGATACAAGCACGAACACAAACTTATTCTTTCTTCTAGTATACTTCCTTCTTATTTCAAAGGAGTAACTGTTCACTTACATGGATACCAGAATTGGCCAAGAGGACTTTTTCTGTCAAATGCCCCCAGGACCCTAAAATAAAATTGGTCCTCTCTGTGTGTCTCCAGAATACATCTCAGCACTTATTGATTCAAAGGGCCTCTCACTTCCATCCTCGCCTTACCATTCCTATGGCCACCAATGAAATTTCACGCCTGTATTATCTCATGCCTGGACTACCTTGTGGTAGCTCCCTGTTTTTCCAATCTCCAGTCACCACTCCTATTCCCACCCCAGCTTGGATTCACGCTGCACATAAATCTACTATATTATTTTCCTTTCATCTTGTCAATCTTCTGGTCACAAAAGGCCTTGATGTCTCACAGGCGTGGATGGGGTAATATTCAGATACCCCAGTTTAGCAGTTAGGGGTGCTCTACGAACAGGACTCACCTCTACTGCCTGACTCTCTCTCTCATCACTACCCTCCCTACACTTTCCCTTCTAGCAGGACAGCACTTGTCTCTGAAGAAGGATTCCCATCTCCATGCCTTTCTTCCCATCTCTCCTCCCATCTTGAGTGCCCTTCTGACACTTTGTATCCTATTTTCAAACCCACCTTACTTAAGAGTTCTCCTCCTCTGTAAAACTTTCCTGGAGCATTGTTGCCTGCAGCTGTTTCTGCTGCCTCTAAACACTGATTGTTTCCCGGTTTTGTTAATATCTCTTTGTTTTAGTTTGCATATATCTTACCTTTCCAAACAGATCATAAATTCAAGGACAGGGACAATGTTTTTTCTCTGCTGCTTGAAACACAACTTTATTGATGAAACAGAAGTCTTAGATTCAAAAATATAAACTAATATAAAAGTATAGCTTATTCATGATGTATAATTAATTCACTGTCAGTTTAGGTAGCGGAAAGATTAAAAATAATCTAGGTAACAAGATCAAATCAATAAATTCTTTCTGTGTACAAGTACTAATATTCCATTTGGCATCTTTAAAATGGCCCAGCCTAAACCCAACCATCACAACCAACATCAGTCACTATTGATGATAAATGATATTCATTATTCCAAAATAGCAGCTGTAAAGATCTCTTTACCATATAAGCACAGTGAAAAACAAAGAATTTACAAAACATATCGTCCCAAGTGCAAATACCTCAATACTGTTTGGGACACACTCCAAATTAGAGTTTGGTTAATACTTTCAGGACTTTTACTTTCACCACCAGATCATTGTGATTTGCTAATGCTTTGATTTTCTTAACACAAACTCCAGACTCTTTAAATAAGAAAAAAAGTGAACTTCTGCTGAATTCTTTCCTGGATGATGCAAGCCCTTCACTTTTGATGTTGTCATTTATATTCTCAAATAGAGTAAGGATATTAAGAAGAATCTCTCTATCCCATTCTTTATTAAAGAGGGAAATCAATTCTGATGGTACTTTACAACTGACCAGCTCTCTTGTCATGGCTGGATTTTCCGTAAAGTTTATAATTAGTTTCATAATCTGTATCTTAGTGAAGTGATTTCCCAGGAATAACAAAGCAAAAAAGTCTGGAAAAGAATAGGAAAGCAAATGTTGGTAATGATTAGTCACAGTCATGTTGGTTAACAGTCTTAGCCCAGCCATCTGCACAGCTGAGTCCAAGCGACAGACCATGGTGTCATCACACACTTGACTGATGTACGTCTTAATCTTGCCCTGATTTTCAGCGTTCACACTCAAGTTATTAAGGGCATTGTAAGTCTTTTCTCTAATTATGGGGTCTTTCGTTTTTATCAGTTTTGCAATAATTGGGACACCACCCAATTCACGTATGGCATTCTGGTTAAATGAATACGCTGCATTGTTACCCAGAGTGACCAAGGCTACTTCTTGAATAAAAGGATCATTTGTTCGCTCCAGTATGTTGAGGACCTTTTGAAGGTCGGGAGCACTCAGAATATCATCAATTTTATAAGGAAAGTTGAACTTGCCCCTGCGGACAGGCCATGTTGTAGCTGGAGCCCTGGTGCTCTTACTTCGGGCCTTTCCCTTGGATTTTCCACTTGCCCTGCCTCCAGCCCTAGATCCACTCCTGGTGGGATGGCAGCCTCCACCCCTGCCTCCTGGGCATGGTAAACTCGGTGCAAGGGTCCTGTTCCCAGAGATGATACCCACCCTGACCCCTTTGCCTGCCTTTGCACTTGCCTGTTCCTTCAGCATGTTGAAAAGGGCCTTGGCTTTGGCCTCTAGGCCACCTCCGTTGTGGGATCCTGAGTGGACCTTCTCTTTTACACCTGGACAATTCTCGAGGCCCAAACTCACCTCAGGCTTGACCTTAGAGTCACCGTGAAGTTTGACCCCAGACCCTGCCCCAACGTTAGCTTTAGCTCCTTTCACAGTCTCAACCCCAGTCTCTGAAGTGTCCGTGGACTCCTCGTCTTCATCCAAGATTTTCTCGTTCTCATCTCTTCCCCAAGTCAGTTTGTATACACAGTAGCAGGCACCAGCCCCGATAACCACACCAGCGGCCACGCAGCCAGCTTCTCGAGTGCGGCCCATGGTATGGCAGGGACAAATCTCTTAACCAGAGCACAAAACGGGCTTGCTCTGGCCCAGAGAAGCGCGCAATGCTGCGGGCGGAGTCTGCAGCTACTATCCGGCTGGCTCTGAGGCAGCTTGGACCTAGGAATAAAGGATGCATTTCAGGTTTCAGGTTCCTCCGCCTTTTGTATCTTTGCAAGCCAACAGACTGCAACAACGACAAAACAAACAAATGTACAAAAATGCAGAGATATTGGTAGAGACTTGGGGCTTAATGTGCAGATCACTGATTCCTTTCTTCCATCCGGAAGCCAAGTTTGGAAAATTTCCCCACTTCCAGACTCTCCAACGTCACGTTCCACCACCCCACCCCAGAACATCAAAGTTCCCTACCGCCCCTGCCCTTCCAGATGTCCTGGGGACAGTGGCGCCCTCACGTGCACCCACAGAGGTCCAAGCACTTTTTTCCTTCTCTGTCTTGCTTCCAAACGCACTGCTTCTTGCAAACTTGCAGACAAAGGGGCGGGAAGAGGAGTGCTAAGAAATCGGGGACAACAGCTCTCACCTGAGACACACATCCCTCTTCTGAATTCCTAGCCCTTTTATCTGCCTTGCCCAATGTTTCGCGCCTTCGGTTACCCTCCTCTTCTCACACAGCTGCGGCTTTGGAATTCATTCTCTTCCTCCCTCTTCCTCCTTCGATGATTCCTCTAACCCTCCACTCAACCTCCACCGCCACCCCCATCATTGGCATCCTCCGAAGATGTCGCCAAACCCAATTCTTTGTAACAAAATGAATAATGATGAAGTGAGAATAGCTAAAAGCCGGACTGGCGTGAAATGCGTAAAGGTTTCGAACTCTGCCCTTGCCTCCACCGACTCCTCCAACTCAAAGGTACCAGGACGCCCCCACCCCCCACCGCCACCCCACCCGCACCCCTGCGTCATTATACCAACTACTTTGCTCGGGAGCACGTTCTTTCCTCCCTCATCTCAGTTTCCGCTTCCACTAAACCTTCGAGACTAGCAAACTTCACAAGTGAGAGCTTGGTGGACGGACCAACACCAAGGACACTGTAACCCAAACAGTAATTTGGAGTCACGTGCTCCCCACCCCAAGACTCTCTTGACGCCCACCCCTTCCCAACTATTTTCTTCCCTGTCTTGTAGTTGCAGAGTAGTTTCTTTTGCAAGCTCCGAAATGGTGTAGATAAGAGGGAAGGAGGGAAATGTGGAGGGGGTCCAGTGGCCCGCTCGAGTTGCAGTGGCCACCATGCTCCACCCACAAATAATGCCATCATCCTCTTTCGTACCTACTTGGTTCTGGACAACTTTGCGTTTCTTCCAAGGGTTGGACTGGCTTCCGGGCTCAAGCTCTGCAGACACAGGCAAGAAGGCAGAGACTGATGGCTCAGCAGACGGAAAAGCACTTCGGAGAGTCCCAATACCCGCTTTTCCTCATTAAGGGTCCTGGCTGTCAAATAGATTTTACCTTTTTGTCTCTCACTCACCCTACCCTCACTTCGCTGGACTCGGCTGACACCAACCCCCTAGCTACGTAGCGTCCCCACACCCCCGAGCCCCACCCCCGGGCCCGGCCCCCGGCCCCCGGCCCCTAACTCCCCCCGCAGCCCCCGTGGTCAGCCATTTTCCCAGCAAAAAAACACACCCCTTTCAAACCACGCCCCTTTCAAACCAGTGGAAGCAGGGCGGGGCGGGGGGGATTCGGAAAATCCGAGGAGCAAAACAAAACCAACCAGATCTTTTCTATCCCTTTCCCCAAAGCACCCTACCCGCAATGACAAGCACTTTTCCTGTAGGCACTGTTACATACTCTTTTCCTGCCAAAACAAACAAACAAACAAAAAGGCAGGAAGATTGCTTGAGAGTGGGTAAGGGGCCCGAGTTAAGGTAAGGACCTCAGCCATCCCCGTCCGTCTGGGGGCCACGGGGCAGCCCCAGGTTTACACTGACCTGCAGAGTCCAAGCGGACTATTCCTTTGTTCCCAAATGGCACAGTGCCCTACTGAAAGAAAAGGGGAATGACTGTCAGACTCACAGCCCCAAGACTCTGGACTGGCAGATGGACCAGCGCACAGGAAATGAATCCGACTATCTGCCGTCCCTGATTCAAGGCTCTGGATGTCAAAGGTCCCACCACGCGCGAGTCTGGGGTCGCCCCTGCAATCCGGCCCCAAAGTCCACCATTTTTGTTCTAGGGCCAGGGATATTGCAAGGGTTTGCCGAAACGAACTATGCTCCCGCGTCAGCCTCCACCCGTCACTGCCCGCACCGCAGCGATTCCCTGGCAACGCCCATCCACACACAAACCTGCTGGGATCCAGGCACTTACCTCCTCCTCCTTCCCCCAGGCCAAGGATCGTCTCGCCCTCTGTGAGATAGAGAGAAGGCAACCGGACCAAATGAAGACTAGGATTAGAAGGACGTCTGCACTCGTCGGCTCCAGCTCACGTGAGGGCCACGTCACCCGTGAGATCAGGACCCCAATTACCACTCCCATCAGCAGTGCCGCAGGACCCACTTCTCCCCTTCCTTCCCTGACACATCAGGTCCTGCCACTAATTTTCCTCTTTGCCAGCCCCGGAGACAGGAAGTACCTTCTCGTTGTGGTTGCAATTTCCCTTTCTTTGGTTTATAGGGAGAGGGTGTACCTGCTCCTTTGTCCCTTGGCCTTCTCTTCCACTTTGAGGAATAATGTTTTATCTTCTCTAGTCCCAGTCCAACTGTCTTTCCCTTCACCTTCTCTCACCACAAGCATGAATGTCCAATATTTCCTCTGCAACCCTATAAAATGTGGAGCAAGATGTTAGAAAAGGAGATATGTCGTGCAAGTGTCTTGTTCAAACTTTTCTGCTCATTTGTTTTTAACTCAGTAATGTATTACTTCTATATTGAGAAAACAAAATGATGGTATTTTCCTTTGAGTTGAGAATTTAAACAGGATGGAAAATCCAAAAGGCCTTATTAATTTCATTATTTTATTTGTAACAAAAGGAAAATATTTCTACTGGTTACAGCAAAATAGTAGCTTTTAAAACAAAATAACTCATTTTAACATTCAAAAGTGGGCTGAGGTGGGTGGATTGCTGAAGCCCAGGAGTTTAAGGCTGCAGTGAGCTATGATCTCACCACTGCACTCTAGCCTGGGTGACACAGAGCAAGACTCTATCTCTTTTTTTAAAAAAAAAAAAAAAAATTGACTTTTTTTTTTTTTTAAGACGGAGTCTCGGGCTGTCACCCAGGCTGCTGTGCAGTGGCGGGATCTCACCTTGTTGCAGCCTCCATCTCCTGGGTTCAAGCAATTCTACCTCAGCCTCCTGAGTAGCTGGGATTATACACACCCACCACCATGCCCGGCTAATTTTTTGTATTTTTTGTAGAGACAGATTTTCACTATATTGGCCAGGCTGGTCTCCAACTCCGACCTGGTGATCTGCCCACCTCGGCCTCCCAAAGTGCTGGGATTACAGGCAAGAGCCACTTCGCCCAGCCGGGTTTTTTTTTTTTTTTTTTTTTTTACATGATCTATGAATTAATCCACAAAGAGACAACTAGTTGTGTAATCTTGGCCATTTTATACAAATGATTTATTACTTTTTCTACTTTTGAATCAACTTGCTATTTGATAAGATAAAAGCAACACAATCCTGTCTTACTTAATTTAAAGAAAAACGTATTTAACATCCCAAAGTCTTGGCAGACTGTTATATGGACCTCTTGTGATTTGATGGCTACTCTGATCACCTGTCTCTGAATTGAATTTCACTCTACCAAGGCTAAGACACCTTAGGGTGTGAAAGATGCAGAGATGTTCTAATCCTCCCTGTGTGTCAAGAGCAGAAGAAAGTGCTGCCCTCTCACCCTCCCCCATTCCATAGCCTGTCATCCCCTGTATTCAGGCACCAGTCTGTTGTTCACTCCAAAAATATATATGGATGGGTGACCAAGGTAGTAAACGCCAGGTTTACTGAGGTGACCAATCACAGTAAATACCTTTGGCTCCTTCCTTTCCTTCCCCAAATTCCCACAGAAGAAACTCAGCAATGCATCAAAGGGCTTACTGTTCCTGCCTACCCCTCTGCCCTTATTCATGGTGCCTGAGTGAATGTTGCTCCTAATACTGTATGCTGCCACCACCTGACTTGACAGGTGCAGCCAGCTGGGCCTCTTGCCTCCAGCTTCCTTAAGGAGACAACCTAATCTTGTTGCAGAGTTACCGCCTGCCAGTCCATATCCACGTTGGTGCCCACTCAGCCAACAGGAACAATCCCAAGGAACAAGGAACAATCCCCACAAATTAACCCAGAGTAGGCACTCTCATCCTGTCAACTTTATGGACCACCTGCAATTGTGTGCATCCGTATATTAATTTTCATGGAGAAAGAAGCCATAGCTTTCATCAGATTCCCACAGGCATGTATGACTTTCTAAAAATAACTAAGAACTATTAATGCTTTCCTGAAAAAAAAGCTATATATCCCCTTAATAGAAAGTCTACTCTTCCCCAGCACTATGGGAAGCTGAGAGGGGCAGATTACTTGAGGTCAGGAGTTAGAGACCAGCCTGGCCAACAAAAATACAAAAATTAGCCAGGCATGGTGGTGCACACCTGTAGTCCCAGCTACTTGGGAGGCTGAGGCTGGAGAACTGCCTGAACCCGGGAGGCAGAGATTGCAGTGAGTTGAGATTGAGCCATTGCCCTTCAGCCTGGGCAACAGAGCAAAACTCCGTCTCAAAAATAAAAAAGAAAGAAAGAAAAGAAGGCCTATTTCTCTCCCCTCTTCTCTGTATCTAGTTATATACTTCTTTTTTTAAGTGAAGAAATCTGTAAAGTAGAAATCTAAATTGCCCTGCAATGCCTATTCTACCACCAAGCACTTTCAGTGATATCCACCTTTCTTCTTGCAAATATGCAGTACATGTATGAGGATGTGTCAGGTTCCAAGTTCAACAATATGCAAAACAATTGACATTTACTGCAGTACTTGCAATAAATCTGCACTTTAATTTGATAATTTATATCTTTAAAAATGGAGAGGAGCATCACACACTGGGGTCTGTTGAGGGTGAATAGGGGAGGGACAGTGGGGGATAGGGAGGTTGGGGAGGGATAACATGAGGAGAAATGTCAGATATAGATGACAGGAGGGACAGAGGCAGCAAACCACATTGCCATGTATGTACCTATGCAACAATCCTACATGTTCTCTACATGTACTCCAGAACCTAAAGTGCAATAAAATGTGTATATATATATATATATATATATATATATATAATTTAAAAAAGAAAGTATCCACCTGTTCTTACTTCAGTAACTTGCATCCAGAAATCATCTGACTTTAAGTACAATTTGATTAAGATTTTGCTTCGTTTTTCTATAATTTTCTCTGCTGTACCTTTCCTTACCTATAGACTTTATCCTTGATTGTGCATTCTAATGGTATCAAAATAGCTGCAATAGTCCTAGGCCTCACACCAGCATCTCAGTCAGAGTCCTAGCCAGGAAAAAAAAATCAAAATCAGATGCTTCAAGGGACTTGAATGTAGGGACTACTTACAGAAGTATATACAAGATTATGAGACCCAACAAGCAATTTTATGGCATTCAGAGGCTAGCAATAGCAGGAAGCTGTTGCCCTAGGCCTAAAAGGACAAGACGAAGAAATAGTTTTCCTGGAGCCTAGTAAGAGCTAGAGTCATGGAGGAGGGGCTTCTGGCAGAAGCTAAAATCTTGAAGGGATGCAGTCACCGACAATAAAACACAGCCCAAATCAGAGTGGGAGCAGTGCAAAAATACATTGGCTTCTCTCTTCTGTCCTCCAAAGCTGTGCCAGTGCATTCCATTGACCAAACCCAAGCAGAATTCAACTACAAATGCAGTCTAGGGGATGCAGTTTCTAGTGACCATCCTCCCAGGGCACAGAACAAGACAGAGAAGGACAGAAAATGAATCAGGATGTGTGGGAAAATAAAGACTAACCACCATGGTCCTCTCCTTTCACATTCGGCATCTATTCTTATTATTCTCTTCTCCCAATAGGGAGGCAGGGACAAAAAAATCCCATCAGCCAGTGTAGTGTTATGAGATAATGCTCATTTAATCACATTCCCCCACCTGAAACCTGATTTATAGCAATTATCTCAAGTATTTTTCATATAATCAGAGGAAAGGAAGAGAAAAATAAATTAACAAAGATGTGCATAGCTGTTACAGTTTCCCTCTGAAGCTGATCATGAGGCCAAAGTCAATAATCAACTTCATTCTTCTACCACCCATTTCCTATTCCCCTTACAGTAACCTGGTTAAAATCATTTCCCTGATATAGTGACCCTAATCTTCAATCCTGTGTTTATTGCATTTCTGCACTTTCCCACTGACCAGGACTATTAGGCAAAGCAGTACTATGAGGTGCTCCAGTGAGTATCCCTGGGCTCTGAGCATTGTTCTCCCTGTTTGTATAGCAGCAACATTATTTCCCCATAAAATTGGGCTCAATCACTCCAGCCAGTATAGCAGTTCAGTGGCACGAGAGGACAAAAATGACAAGAATGTAGTCTTAGCTTTTAATGTAATGGAACTATGGCTTTATTCCCTGGTGAAAGCATTCATCCCTGCTGTGCCTAAGAGTCCAAGGTTGTGGAGACAGAAAAAAAAAAATATATATATATATATATATATATATTTATTCAGTAGGTTAACCAATGTAATCATGAAAAGGGCCACTCCTTCCATGACTTCTTTATTCCCAGTCCTGTGTAACCTCACTATGGGGAAAAATAAAGCGCAATATATGGGTGGTTCTGTTAAAGCATCTATTGCAATTTTGTAGTCCAGCGCTCCCAGGAACAGCTGACCCCATAACTAAGCTTCCAGTAAGTTATTTATTTTTTCATAAGGCAAGCTGCTTCTGCATGGTAAAGTAAGTAGTAAAGACTAGTGAATCTTTGGATCTGTACTTCACTTATCATCAGAGACAACTTATGATGATTAAGGCATTCAGGAAGTCCAGGGAGATGGTGCTGACAGAACCACTGTCAGCAAAGAAGGTAAATGTGTGTCTAAAATACATATTCATTTCCATGAGGAAAAGTTTCTGTTTTCATCATAATAAAAGGTGCCCCATGTAATAATCCTACCACCTAAGAAATGGTGTCTTATAGAGGCTCATCATCTCTGTTGTTAGGTTGGGCACTTAGTTTTAGTACAAGATCAGCCTTGGTGAGTAGAAGCCCACATTGTTGAATTTAGGCATAGCCTCTATAATATTGATGCTAAAATCTAGCAAAGATAACATAGACATAAAAATACGACTATTTGCACTATTCTTTTGCCACAGTACCAGCTTGAATTTACTAATATTTTATTTTGGATATTTACATCTATATTTCTAAGTTAGACTGACCTCTCATGTTTACTTTTTTACTTCTATTCTTTGTTTGGACATAACCATTATGTTAGCCTTAGAGAACGAATTGGGTAAATTTCTACATTTTCCTATGCTCTAGAACACTTTAAGTTAGATAAGAATTATTGAATTCTTGTCGATGGTTATGGTGGGAAAAATAGTGGCTCCTCAAAGATGTCTACATATTGGAACCTGTGAACATGTTACCTCATATAGCAAAGGGGAGTTTGCAGATGTGATTATGTTAAGAATATTGAGATCGAAAGATTATCCAGTACTATCTGGGTGGACCCAATATCCACCCTTGTAAAGGAAGGAAGGATCCTTTTAAAGGAAGGAAGGAGGCAGATGAGTCAGAAAAAGATGTGACAAAAGCATTAAGCAATGAGATAATGGAATGCAGGCAGCCTCTAGAAGCTGGAAAATGCTAGGAAATAGATTCTCCACTAGAGCATTCGGTGGTAAAACAGCCCTTTCAATCCGTTTTAGACTTCTGACCTCCGGAAATGTGTTATAATAAATTTGTCTTGTTTTAAGCAATCGCGTATGTGGTAATTTTTTTTTTTTTTTTTTTGAGACGGAGTTTCGCCCTTGTTACCCAGGCTGGAGTGCAATGGCGCGATCTCGGCTCACCGCAACCTCCGCCTCCTGGGCTCAGGCAATTGTCCTGCCTCAGCCTCCTGAGTAGCTGGGATTATAGGCAGGCACCACCATGCCCAGCTAATTTTTTGTATTTTTAGTAGAGACGGGGTTTCACCATATTGACCAAGATGGTCTCGATCTCTTGACCTTGTGATCCACCCACCTCACCTCCCAAAGTGCTGGGATTACAGGCTTGAGCCACCACGCCCGGTGTGTGGTAATTTTTTATATAATTTGTTACAGCAATGGGAAACTAGCATAACAGTTATTTTTAAAGAAAAAGAGAGGAAAGAAGTCTTTTTTATTTACCCAGATATTTATAATTTCTATTGCTTCTCCATTCCTGAGGTTCAGGCTTCCCTCTGGCATCATTTTCCTTTAGTCTGAAGAGCTTCCTTTAATATTTCTTGTACAGCATGTCTACTGGCAACATATTATCTTGGCTATCCTTTATCTCATAATATTTTCATATTGTCTGCATTTTTGAAGAATATTTTTGCTGGATGTAGATTTATGGCCTGGTGTTTCTTTTCCTTCAACGCTTTAAAGATGTTCCACTGTTTTCTGGCCTTCACTGTGATGAGAAAACCACAGTCATTCAAATTATTGTTCCCCTAGAAGTATTGAGTTATTTTCCTCTAACTACTTCAAAATTTTCTTTACTTTTCATTTTCAGCAGTTTGATAAGATGTGCATAGAGGTGATTTTCTTTGAGATTATCCTGTTTGGAATTCATAAAACTTCTTGAATTTATAAATTTATCTATGCCAACAAATCTGGAAACTTTTTTCCACAAATATATTTTCTATTCCAAAATGGGGAATCAAAGAGGACCAGCAGCTGCCACCCCTTCCTAGCACTGTCTCACAGAGCAGGAGCATCACTCAGTTAAAAGCAGGTCCCTGGCTCCAGCTCTGGTGCAGTGGTTCAGGGATTCTTCCCAGCAGGAAAGGGAAGATATAAGGATAAAGGACGCTGTAGCTCTGCTTGAGGATACTGACTTAACTTGGAAAAGGTGGAAAAAAAAAAAAAAAAAAAAAAAGCTATGCCTACAGGCATTGTTGTAAACAGTGAAGATCTTGGTAGACAATAATTAAGAGGAGGCTACCAGCCTCCTCTTAACCACATATTTATACATAGTATGAACATCAATACAAATTTATACATGTTGCTTTATAAAGTCAAATAACTAGGAGAAAAACAGAGTTATTACAAAATTCATTTATATTGTCTTATATTTACCTATGTAGTTGTTGCATGTGTTGTAATGTTTTGTTGAAAGCTGGACATGTTGGATAATATATTATAGCAACTCTGAATACTGAACCACCCCCCGCACCCTGGAGGTTGTTGTTCTTTGCTTGGTCATGTGTTTGTTTGATGGCTTGGCTGAACTAATTCTGTGAAGTCCATTTATTTTCCCCAGCATGTGCAACTCTGGTGCCTCTGCTCAGATATTTTTCCCTTATTTTTATCTTTTAGCCTGGCTACTTAGGTTTTGACCCTAGGTTGACATAAGTTATTTATTGGTTAAAGGTTGTGCTTAAGCCCCCTTTAGTCAATTAGATTTGTTATTCTTTACCATTGGATATGTGAGTGGCTTGGAGATGGCTCTCACAGTTCAGTGAATTTACATATTTCCTAGTCCCCGGTCCACCACCTCATTCAGCCATTAGTAGCTTGGAGGATGCTTCTCTGATTGCTCCTTCAAGGACATAGCCTAGGGCAGACACACATTCTTCTACATTTCCAGGGATGATACTGATTTTATTGTTTATTCTGGATTTCTAGGATTTGCCCCTGGGTCACAGTAGCCTATGGTTCAATCAGTGTTTGCTCAGAAGTTGTGTTTAAGCCCCTGTGCCACTGGTGCTTTTGCCCTATGTTTATAGGTCTGTGTGTGGCTTGAGGAATTCTTTCAAGCCTGCTCCATCATTCTCTGATTTCTCCTAAGTGAATGTAGCTTAATATATGCACAGAGCATTTCTAACTCCCCAGATTGCATGTGATCCCAGCAGGGTTGTTATTGATGGTCTCCTTCCCTGGTTGTTCTGCCAATACATGCAACAACAATCACATAGGTAAATATAAAAGACAATAAAAATGAATTTTGTTAGGCCGGGTGCAGTGGCTCAAGCCTGTAATCCCAGCACTTTGGGAGGCCGAGGCGGGTGGATCGCGAGGTCAAGAGATCGAGACCATCCTGGTCAACACGGTGAAACCTCGTCTCTACTAAAAATACAGAAAATTAGCTGGGCATGGTGGCACGTGCCTGTAATCCCAGCTACTCAGGAGGCTGAGGCAGGAGAATTGCCTGAACCCGGGAGGCGGAGGTTGTGGTGAGCTAGGATTGCGCCATTGCACTCCAGCCTGGGTAACAAGAGCGAAACTCCATCTCAAAAAAAAAAAATGAATTTTGTTATATTTCTGTCTTTTCTCCTAACTTAAAAGACTTTATAAGCAATATGTATAAATCTGTGTTGATGTTCATACAATGTACAAAAATGTAATCTCTATGACAATAGCAATGCAAAGGAGTGAGAAGGTTATGAAGCTATTAAGAGCAAATATTTGAAATTAAGCTGATATTGATCTGAACTTGATTTTTATGTTAAGATATTAATTGCAACTCCAAGGGCAACCTCTAAGAAAATAAATTGCAAAATAGAGTAAATGGAATGGCAAAGAAATGAAAATGGTATACTAGGAAACTCCTATTTAACACAAAAGAAGCAGTAGTAGAATAGAGGGACAAAAAAGATATGGGACATATAGAGAACAAATAGCAAAATGGCATATGTGAATCCCAAACTATAAGTAATTACATTAATATAAGTGTATTAAACACTTCAAAGTAAAGGCAGAGAGTGACAGAATTAATTTAAAGCACATGATCCAACCATATGCTGTCTGTAAGAGATATACTTCAGATTCAAAGACACAAACAAGTTGAAAGTAGGATAGAAAAAAATATATTATGCATGCAAACAGTTACCAAAAGGGACCTGGAGGGCTTTACTAATACCAGAAAAATTTTACATTAAGACAAGTATTTTTATTAGAGACAAAGATGGATAATATAAAATGATGAAAATGTCAAAAAGATATAACAATTAGAAACATATATGTACCTCATAACAAATCCCCAAAATACATAAAGCAAAAGTAGATAGAATTGGAAAAATAAATAGACAATTCAAGAATAATAATTGAAGGCTTCAATACCCCACTTCTAACAATAGCTAGAACAACTAGATAAAAGATCAAC